TCACCGAAGTGATGTTTTTGGACTGGTGAGATATTGTTGTGACCCTGAAGTGATGTTTGATACTGGTGAGAGATATTGTTGTGATCCGAAATGATGTTTGATACTGGGGAGATGTTGTTGTCACCCGAAGTGATGTTTGATACTGGTGAGATATTGTTGTCACCGGAAGTGATGTTTGATACTGGGGAGATATTGTTGTCACCCGGAAGTGATGTTTGATACTGGGGAGATATTGTTGTCACCCGGAAGTGATGTTTGATACTGGGGAGATATTGTTGTCACCCGGAAGTGATGTTTGATACTGGGGAGATATTGTTGTGACCCGGAAGTGATGTTTGATACTGGGGAGATATTGTTGTCACCCGGAAGTGATGTTTGATACTGGGGAGATATTGTTGTCACCCGGAAGTGATGTTTGATACTGGGGAGATATTGTTGTGACCTGGAAGTGATGTTTGATACTTGGGAGATATTGTTGTCACCCGGAAGTGATGTTTGATACTGGGGAGATATTGTTGCAACCCGGAAATGATGTTTTTGGACTGGTGAGATATTGTTGTACCCTGAAGTGATGTTTGATACTGGTGAGATATTGTTGTGATCCGGAAATGATGTTTCATACTGGGGAGATGTTGTTGTCACCTGGAAGTGATGTTTGATACTGGTGAGATATTGTTGTCACCCGGAAGTGATGTTTGATACTTGGGAGATATTGTTGTCACCCGGAAGTGATGTTTGATACTTGGGAGATATTGTTGTCACCCGGAAGTGATGTTTGATACTGGGGAGATATTGTTGTCACCCGGAAGTGATGTTTGATACTGGGGAGATATTGTTGTGACCCGGAAGTGATGTTTGATACTGGGGAGATATTGTTGTCACCCGGAAGTGATGTTTGATACTGGGGAGATGTTGTTGTGATCCGGAAGTGATGTTTGATACTGGGGAGATATTGTTGCAACCGGGAAATGATGTTTTTGGACTGGTGAGATATTGTTGTACCCTGAAGTGATGTTTGATACTGGTGAGATATTGTTGTGATCCGGAAATGATGTTTCATACTGGGGAGATGTTGTTGTCACCTGGAAGTGATGTTTGATACTGGTGAGATATTGTTGTGATCCGGAAATGATGTTTCATACTGGGGAGATGTTGTTGTCACCTGGAAGTGATGTTTGATACTGGTGAGATATTGTTGTCACCCGGAAGTGATGTTTGATACTGGGGAGATATTGTTGTCACCCGGAAGTGATGTTTGATACTTGGGAGATATTGTTGTCACCCGGAAGTGATGTTTGATACTGGGGAGATATTGTTGTGACCCGGAAGTGATGTTTGATACTGGGGAGATGTTGTTGTGATCCGGAAGTGATGTTTGATACTGGGGAGATGTTGTTGTCACCCGGAAGTGATGTTTGATACTGGGGAGATATTGTTGTCACCCGGAAGTGATGTTTGATACTTGGGAGATATTGTTGTCACCCGGAAGTGATGTTTGATACTGGGGAGATATTGTTGTGACCCGGAAGTGATGTTTGATACTGGGGAGATGCTGTTGTGATCCGGAAGTGATGTTTGATACTGGGGAGATGTTGTTGTCACCCGGGAAGTGATGTTTGATACTGGGGAGATATTGTTGTGACCTGGAAGTGATGTTTGATACTGGGGAGATATTGTTGTCACCCGGAAGTGATGTTTGATACTGGGGAGATATTGTTGTCACCTGGAAGTGATGTTTGATACAGATATTGTTGTGACCCGAAGTGATGTTTGATACTGGGGAGATATTGTTGTCACCGGAAGTGATGTTTGATACTGGGGAGATGTTGTTGTGACCCGGAAGTGATGTTTGATACTGGGGAGATGTTGTTGTGATCCGGAAGTGATGTTTGATACTGGGGAGATGTTGTTGTCACCCGGAAGTGATGTTTGGTACTGGGGAGATATTATTGTCACCCGGAAGTGATGTTTGATACTGGGGAGATATTGTTGTGACCCGGAAGTGATGTTTGATACTGGGGAGATGTTGTTGTGATCCGGAAGTGATGTTTGATACTGGGGAGATGTTGTTGTCCCCCGGAAGTGATGTTTGGTACTGGGGAGATATTGTTGTCACCCGGAAGTGATGTTTGATACTGGGGAGATGTTGTTGTGATCCGGAAGTGATGTTTGATACTGGGGAGATATTGTTGTCACCCGGAAGTGATGTTTGATACTGGGGAGATATTGTTGTGACCCGGAAGTGATGTTTGATACTGGGGAGATATTGTTGTGACCCGGAAGTGATGTTTGATACTGGGGAGATATTGTTGTGACCCGGAAGTGATGTTTGATACTGGGGAGATATTGTTGTGACCCGGAAGTGATGTTTGATACTGGTGAGATATTGTTGTCACCCGGAAGTGATGTTTGATACTGGGGAGATATTGTTGTGACCCTGAAGTGATGTTTGATACTGGGGAGATGCTGTTGTGATCCGGAAGTGATGTTTGATACTGGGGAGATGTTGTTGTCACCCGGAAGTGATGTTTGATACTGGGGAGATATTGTTGTGACCTGGAAGTGATGTTTGATACTGGGGAGATATTGTTGTCACCCGGAAGTGATGTTTGATACTGGGGAGATATTGTTGTCACCTGGAAGTGATGTTTGATACTTGGGAGATATTGTTGTGACCCGGAAGTGATGTTTGATACTGGGGAGATATTGTTGTCACCCGGAAGTGATGTTTGATACTGGGGAGATGTTGTTGTGACCCGGAAGTGATGTTTGATACTGGGGAGATGCTGTTGTGATCCGGAAGTGATGTTTGATACTGGGGAGATGTTGTTGTCACCCGGAAGTGATGTTTGATACTGGGGAGATATTGTTGTGACCTGGAAGTGATGTTTGATACTGGGGAGATATTGTTGTCACCCGGAAGTGATGTTTGATACTGGGGAGATATTGTTGTCACCTGGAAGTGATGTTTGATACTTGGGAGATATTGTTGTGACCCGGAAGTGATGTTTGATACTGGGGAGATATTGTTGTCACCCGGAAGTGATGTTTGATACTGGGGAGATATTGTTGTGACCCGGAAGTGATGTTTGATACTGGGGAGATATTGTTGTGACCCGGAAGTGATGTTTGATACTGGGGAGATATTGTTGTGACCCGGAAGTGATGTTTGATACTGGGGAGATATTGTTGTGACCCGGAAGTGATGTTTGATACTGGTGAGATATTGTTGTCACCCGGAAGTGATGTTTGATACTGGGGAGATATTGTTGTGACCCTGAAGTGATGTTTGATACTGGGGAGATGTTGTTGTCACCCGGAAGTGATGTTTGATACTGGGGAGATATTGTTGTACCCGGAAGTGATGTTTGATACTGGGGAGATGTTGTTGTGAGATATTGTTGTGACCTGGAAGTGATGTTTGGTAGTGGTGAGATATTGTTGTGATCTGGAAATGCCGTTTGGTACTGGGGAGATATTGTTGTCACCCGGAAGTGATGTTTAGTAGTGGTGAGATATTGTTGTGACCTGGAAGTGATGTTTGGTAGTGGTGAGATATTGTTGTGATCCGGAAATGATGTTTGATACTGGGGAGATATTGTTGTCACCCGGAAGTGATGTTTGGTACTGGGGAGATATTGTTGTAATCCGGAAATGATGTTTGAGACTGGGGAGATGTTTTTGTGACCTACAAATGTTCTGGGTATGAGTCATCCAGATCTGGGTACAAGCTGACCATACAAGGTATAAATTGTCCAAAATGGTTTGAATCTGATGAAAATTTAGCTACTTCCGTTGGGTAGGAATCTCCATGGGTACAGATTGTCTAGGATCCTGTCTGGTCTTACACCAATAGAAAAAAAACAATGCCTACATACGCTATAGGTGAAATGAGGGTGTGATTTCCACCTGACACACTTATCATGCTTATGGCAACACCGTATTCATTAACCCAAATGGATGATGCAAGTAGACTGTATGCATTATGGAAAAAGAGCTCCCCTGATCTTAGATAACAACTTGACTCTATGCTGATATGAGAGCAGTTCAGTTATGTACTGAGATAATCTGCAGGTTAAACAACACATGCAGTTCATAGATGGGAGGTTTGTCAATCAGTATTGAGTGCTTCTGGGCTTGGGCATTTAACAGGTGACCCCACAGAAGTACAGATACGCTGTGCTAACTAATTAAAACTTTATGAAACAACTACTTATTTCTTTATAAAAATATTCAGAATACTTGGAATGAAATTAAAAGAAATAGGTACAAAATCTGCATCAGCCACAGTAATATTACAAATTCACATAGTGGTTTGCGTACTCAGAAAGATACTTGTGGGCACAAATCACTATACTATCATGTTTAACCCAGATTGATACTGACAATGCCTCCACTGGGTTATTGTATTTCCACTGACATACATCATGAAAGGATATATGGTTATCCTGGACTTGTTTTAGTAGTGAAGCAGTAAAATAATCTGAGAACATGTGTTTGGAATAAATATAGCCTGATTAGGATTTCTAGCATGCTCATTTGTTTGAAAATACAGTCTGTGAGCGAGTATGTTACAATGGAGAATAGAACAATCATACCTTTGTTGGACTGTCTTCAGATCCGTTTGTACTGGTAGTACAAAATGTAACTGACATTTACCACAGTTTGCGACAGATATTGTAACGGGGCAGCAGGTGACAGTAACGTCATTGTCAAATCTTCACAACATGATGGTGGTAATTTGAACAACGTCATGATGATGGCTTATTATGTTGTAACCCACAGGGTAAAATACAGTTGGCATCTTTGATCTTTTGGCGAACCATCCTAAACTATTTGACAAGAAGGATAACCGTTTAGAACAACTGTTGTCAGTTGTCAAAGTATGCTTTATATTGCCCAAGTGTGATTAATTCCGCCATGTAGGTATTTATGTGATGTCCTCATTACATATTTACCCAGTAGTATATTGCACAACATTATTACTTCTGCTGTTTCAGGCTCCAGTGACAAAGCCAGGCAGTGAATGACCACCCAGCATTTCCTTCCTGGCAAGTCCCTCACAGGCCCCTTGCGGGCAGGGAAACAAGACAAAGTCTCTCCTGGAGAGGAAACTGACGATCAAGGGGTGACACTCGATATTTTGAGAGTTGTGAAGTCAATATCATTTAAACTGACAGCTCCACTTGACTCATGTGTGGAGTCCGATGTTGACCGAGAACATCTTTCACATGGTGATCATCGTCATATAGTACACCCCAGTAACATCAACAACAACATGGTGGATGTACAGCCCTCAAGTACAGAAGAGGACATGTCAGGTTGTGAGTCCCCACAAGTACCTGGTTTAAACAGAGAGGAAGATGGTGGTCAGGCTTCTCCATCACCACACACTTCACATCCACATCCAAAACCAGCAGACAAAAGCCAGTTATCTATTGTGAAATCTGTCAAGCAGAAGAATACTAAATCTAGGAAGAAAGCTAATGTTTCTAAAACCCATGTACTGTCTGAATCAGAAGATGAGGGGCCAACCGTCTCCGTGAAACCAATGTCAAGGTCACCAGCCAGGACATCCTCATCAAGACTGTCCCTGGGGATTCAAAGTGAACCTACGGATAATCAACAACTAATCACCTGCTTTGATTCCATGAAGTAAATATTTAATTCCCAGGTATTCAGCTTACCTTGACATTGTCAGCGTGAGCTTATGCTGTCCATTTGCCTGCCCAATTCTGTTCCATAGTATTGATCTTAAATAACTGTCTTTTACGCAGCATCAGATGTCAGTATCATATTTTCACATCAGGGATATATGTCCCAGATTAGAAAGCAGTGTAGATATTTCATTTTTAAAATTCAAAAAGGCAATCTCAGTTCATTTGAGTGGTAACAACCTTTGTGAAAATATTTTCCTCCAAATCATAAGACTTTTTGGCTTGAAATGTTTGAGGATATCCATAAAACCAGCTGAATGTAGATGTATATGCTGGAGGCTTTCTATGGTCTGGTCAAAGTTTTCAAATGGCTAGTGACATGCAACATTTGAGAAGATTGGGAGAGTAATTAGTATTATGATTTTATTGTAACCATATTTTCTGTAAATATTTGTTGCAACCTATGCCAGACAGCAGGTGTGTGAGACATGTATTTAATCACACAATATGGGGATAGTAGTACTGTGGATTGTATGACACCCTGTAATGACAAAATATGCACCCACAGACACATCCATTACATAAACACAAGTATCAATAACATTTTGGATGAAGGATGAATTAACTCCGTCATTGTCAGATAACTGCACACAGACCTGACATGACCAGCATGTCGATGACATGAGTGTAACTCACCGCTATTATGATGATAACAGGAATGCTACACCTGATTACATGGAAATCAAGCACATACAAAGCATTCATTCATGAAAAGTATTTAAAAGATGCCAAATATTAGAAACTGAAAGTTCTTTCATGCAATCACTTACATTAATATACTTTTAGACAATATTGTAAGTGTTTAGTAATTGCTTACTAACCTGACAACGGCAGTGCAGTGTATTGATTGCGACGAATGGTGACAGGACTCATTATAGCTGTTGACATAGATATTCAAATAAACCAGTGAAGACAAAGGCCTGGGGTAAGGTGATTGATTAAGACAGTGAGACAATGCAGCAATGATCATGGTAATGGCAATAACAACATGCATGTGTTTTCAAAGCATCTAGATTTCAGGGGGGTATTGGCTTCATGCTTTCACTAACCACTGTTTGTGCTAGTTGGTGTGTTTGCTCAAGTTCCAAAGCTGAAGATGGTTACCATTACATGTAACCATGTGTAGAATGGTTTGAATTACCTTAAGGCCTACATGGAAGTTACATTCACATAGTTACTTCTTAAATCACCAGTTGGGAAAAATACCATTCAAATCTCAATATCAGATAGCTCCCTTATCAGGTGACCAAATGCAACTGTTTTCAGAGTTTTACCAAAGACGTAGATATACACGTCTGTGATTTTACAAAGTTTCAGATTTGTTTTCAGATTGACCAGGGTCGTCTTTATTTACAGAATGAGTTATCTGCCCTTTGTTGGCACAATGGGAGTGATAAAATTGTTCTCAATCAAATGATAGTTGTGATTATCAAAGACCATCATAAGTTGAGAATCAGTAGTAATAGAGGGTTGCCGCATTACGCGCGTAGAGGCTCATTGTTATGAAATAAGTACCCCAGCCCCCCTTAAAAACGGCTCTGGTCTATCGAGAGGCATCCTTCGGTGAGGGTTCAAGGTCTGGGGTCAGGACCATCGTTGCTAAGCCAAACAAAGATGGCCCGAGCTTAGCAACGAGGTGTCAACTGGGTTTATCCTGACCAACCCATCTAAATGTAGCCGTAATATTCGGCGATGACTATGGGGTGGGTCTGCCATGAATTCCTCGAAGTGGATTAAGGAGTACTGGACATCACATTCTCGGGTTTCGAAGCTATAATCGATTAACGTATCCATGAGGCGTTGTAACCTTTCGGTGCCCATGAGACCTAAACTATCATACAGGCTGGTGAAACCCTCGACGCAGGGCGGTGTAAATATCGAGGCCACCGACGTCCACCCTGACGCGTCTGAACAACCGTTTCTCGATCAATCTCCACATGTTGATAATGAGATACATAAGACGAATCTTTAATAAGAAGGGGGCAATACCGTGTCGTTAGGGACGATCATCAATTCCTCTCGGACGAATCCCCTACCCGGTCCATCTTGCAAGTAATACAGATTCGGTTCGTCGTCTTCGATATCCACTCAGTCGATTCAGTACGTTTTCATGGACCATATGGGGTCTGTGGCGTGACGTTTGTCCCCTCCTTCGAGTTCACCGGGCTGGTACAGATACCTCACGACGACCCAGTCCGGTAGTTTTTTCTCTTGGCCGTTACGCGATGGCGCAGCCGAATCGGTCGTCACGGATTTCATTCGAATGGCTTCGACGGGTCTTTTATGGAGGAGTCGAGTGACTTCGTTGTTGATCGCCAACACCACTCGCGGTAAGCGTACGGCCCATTCCGTCGATCATTTTTCTGGGTTGACCATCTCTTGAGCATACTGATGTCCGAACAAATGCTCGGCTAAAGTCCTGTTGAATCTTTCGACGATGGCTTGGCTTTGGTGAGCTCCGGCCACGCCTCGTCTCACCTGGACTTTATGCTTCAATAACAGCTGCGACATGGCTCCCATGAACTCGCGTCCGGGATTGACTTGTAATTCGGTCGGCCAGGTCAAGCGACTGCGTTTGTAGTAGATACATTCTAAGGCCTTAGCGACTTGACTCAAATCTTTGGTCGTTAACGGCTCCGCTTCCTTGTAGCGACTGGCAACGTCCACGACAGTCAGGGCGTACTTGTGCGTTTTGTTTCTCACCCTGTAGTGCGTGAGAAACAGGAGGTCGGCTTGATGGGTACGATTGGGTATTGAAATGTCAAACTTTCTTCTTGGGATGTATTGGGGAGCCGGCAGGTACACTTGGCTTGTTTTTTAAGCCAAGCTTTGGCGGTAACCTCGGAGACACGAGCGGCATTGGCTAGCTTCGAGATGGTGCTCACACCTTCGTGGCCTGCATGATCAAGTGAGCATCGTACCCTCTCCAATTTTGAAACACCACGGGGATGGGGAGGCACCTCGGTATCGACCGGTGATGTGGCAATGATCTCTCACGACATCCCTGTTCAGGGGTTGGTCGCACACGTAGCATGCTTATCCTTTTCGTGAGCGATTTAATCCTCCGGCATGATATCCATGGGGGCAGGGCCCGACAAAGCTTCCCAGATGTTTCTCTCTTCGCGTTTTAAGAACGTGAGAAACGTTTCGGCCATGTCGGAACCTCGGTAGATCACGGGAGCGTTCGTTCGCCCGTCGCATCTGATGACCACTTACCTGAACCCGCAGGCTTGGTGTTCTTGCGTTTTGTACGTGAAACTGCGATTCATGTTGGGCGGTGACGTGTTGCGGTCGACCCGTTTGATGATCGCTTTAAAGTCGGCGTAAATGACGTAAGGCACGGGCATTTGATGTTTGTGATTGATGGACGTTAAGATGTTTTGATGTTCTCGAGGCATGTTGATTCAGACGTCCGTCTCTCCCACGCCTCGGCACTTCCAGCAGGTCTTCTCGACTGTACCTGTACAGGCCTCGTTGGCAGAAATGTTTCTTTTCCTTGTGGTTCGATTGATCGTACAAGTCAGCTCAGACTTTTGATCCTTGTGTAGCGATACCGGTCGCCTTTTTCGATGAGAAATAAATTGATTCTGCACACATCATCAGGCCTGGAGCTGATTCGGTGCATGATCGTCGTATGGCCGAAGACGTTGATGGCTAAACGGTTTTGTTTTTCCACCTTCATCATTTGAGAGATGGGTGTGGGTGCGTCTATAGTGTCCAAGTTCAGCCCATCATCTGCGGGATAGCTCGAAGGTCTGTCCGCCACAATCTCAGCACCCATCTTAAGCAGTGATCGTCGTTGTTTTTAACGTTCACGATGGCTTTTTTATTCTTGTAATACGGAGGCAAGTCAGGTACGATCAGCCTCTGAACGGTACATAGTTCGCTATATCTAGGTAGATTTTAGATTTTGTCCACCACCCATCCGGATCCTCTATGGGTATTTTTTCCAACGATTCTAGTACGTATTGCAACGACGTATCGAGGATCAAAGGGATCGAGTCGGGTTGAAGCATGACTTCCTGATTGCCTCGGAAATAAGGCTCGAGGTGCTCGGTGCTACCGTCCGTCTGAGGTTTTTGAAGCGACATTTTAAGGGTCAACTGGTATTTGATGCTTTTCAAATCATTTCATTCTTTGTGAAGTTTACTGTCGATTAAGGGTTTGATTTTATCGGCATCGATATTAGAATTGATCACCATTTTCCAGCCTCTCAGATACTTACCCACCGCGTGGGCCGTTGGCACGAATCTCAACTCGACCGGCTCGGTGTCTTCCAGCCAGGTGGCCAGTTGGGCTTTCCTCATGCAAAAAATAACCCTTCAATCCCCATTCTTTTGCTCAGAGTTTGAGGTCTCACACAGTAGGGGGCTTGACATACTTCATGTCGAGCAAGGTGAGCAGTTGGGGTTTCCTCATGTGAGAATAACCCACCAATCCACGTTTTTTCGCCATCGCTTTGAGTTCGCCGACGGTTGTCATGATTGCTATATCAATGTGCGAAAACTTTAAACAAACAAAAAATGATTATATTCAAGTCAAATGTCTGATAGGTTGTTCAATCAAGGGAGGTAACTCCGTCAGCCTTCTCTCTGAAATGAAGCGCACGTAAAATCTTTTTTAAAATAATTTTATTCTGAGGAGTCGGTTACGTTCGTTGAGATAATCTCTTTTTGTCAAGTAGATGAGATGACCTCGGACCACGTCCACTCCGTGGGCTTTGCAACGGCGATAATGACATTTCACGCCAATCTTGCACACTTCGCACGTGTAGTTGACGAAACCCTTTCTGATGGACATCATGTGGATGCCGCAATAGTCGGTGGTGCATTTCCTGTCGCAGGTTTCGGTTTATCCGAGAAGCACATACTGACACTGAAACGGTGTGCGTCGTCCCATCTTTATACGCATGTAAATATATTTTATACACATAAAAAA